TTTGGAAAATAGAAAAAGTTCTGAAGAATATTTAAGAGATTATCTCTATTGACTTTTTGATATATGTCCTTTCAGTCCTGTACGTATTTCATATATATACATATTTAAAAAAAAAAAAAAAAACCATTGCCGTAGAGTTGATTCCGACTCATAATGACCCTATAGGCCAGAGTAGAAATGCCCCATAGGGTTTCCAAGGAGCAGCTGGTAGATTTGAACTGCCAACCCTGAGCTCTTAAGCACTGTACCACCAGAGTTCCATATATGCATATGCACACATAAACATAATATTTATAAAATACAATCTACATTTCTTCACATTGTTCTTTCTTCCTATTTCTTTATGTCTCGTTTCCATTTCCGCTACTTTCAGTCTCTCTCCCTGTGTGTACATCCTCGAATGTCTCTGTTTATCTTTCACACAGAGAGGCAAAGAACCATTTTACCTGTTCCATTCAAACCATGCTCCTTCCCTAAGCTGAAAGGAAAGATAGTTAGATAATAGATAAATGGTAGATAGATAGATAGAACCAGTTGCCTTCAAGTTGATTTTGACTCATGATGCGTCATGTGTGTCAGAGTAGAACTTCCCTCCATAGGGTTTTCAGTGGCTTGTTTTTTGGAAGCAGATCACTGGGTCTTTTTTCCAGGGCACCTCTGGATGGACTCAAAAATCATGTTAACCATTTGCACCACTCAAGGACTCCAGATAGATAGATAAAGATTAAAAAGAAGAAGTTCAGGACAAATTTATGTGGTATTTGTTTATGTCGATCTTTTGAATATATTAAGTGCATTTGTGACCTTCAGTAGGAAAAAATGTTTTGACTCTTGTTTTAGATTCCATAAGGACCATCAGCCATCCTTCTCTTTATACTTGTTATTTCTACATCATCTTTGCTTGTTTCTGCAGAAATTCTTTGTGCAGTCTCCAAGTTTAAGCCTAATTATTTTCATTGACCATAATTTAGTTTGGCTGTTTCTCCACAGCTTCCAGGGAAGCTCCTTCATTTCTGACTTCCTAATTGCTCTGTGGTTTAGTAGTAAATCTTTGAACTAGAAGAAACCTTGAAGTACATTCTGTCCTTCCTCACACACCTTCCCTCCCCGTTCCCTGTGGTTAACTCAGATGTCTAAATTCCTTCTATAACATACTTCCTTTGTGGCTAGCTAGCCAAGACTTTGTCATCTTCAATGACAGGAAGTTCACCACCTCTTGAGATGACCAGACCATTTTTACAATGTTCTAACAATAAAAATACTTGTCTCTCTGTCACTCTCACCACTACTATTTCTAACTGCTAGAGTCTCATAGACCAATTTAGTTAAAAATTGTCCACATACTGGACTGTG